ATTATTTTAAACGAGTGACCCCTGGTGGCCAAAAATCGCATACTGTACGTTTAAATATACTGCTGGATCTTGTATGTTGTGGGCCTATTTATTTGCTGGAGGTCCTGGACATCTTGTTCCGATACATGGTATTATGGATTCTATCAAATACAAAAAGATAAAAAATAAAAACCTGACGCCTTCTGCTAGAAATCTTATAATGGGCCGTGGTTGGATCTTCCATCAGGACAACGATCCAAAACAAAAATCAACACAAAAATTTGTTACGAAGAACAAAATGAAGCTTCTGCCATGACCGTCCCAGACCCTGACCTGATGAGTGGAGTGAACTGAAGAGATGAAGCACCAACATGGATCTGGGAATCTGCAGGATCTGGAGAGAGTCTGTAAGGAGGAATGGTCTCTGATCTCTGGTCAGGTGTTCTCCAAACTCATCAGGCATTATAGGAGAAGACTCAGATCTGTTATCTTGGCAAAAGTTTACAGATCTGAGGTTGCAAAAAGTTTTTAATAACAGGGTGCCAATAATTATGGCCAGAGTGTTTTGGAGAAAAACATCTATTTCATAGTGTGATTTACCCCCACTTTCAATTCTTTAGCTTCAATGAAAGGTTAGAATTTTGCCAATTTTTTTAATGGAAGATCAAAAGGATAAACAATGCAGAATTATTTTTTACAGCCAGTTTTCATCATATTTACCAGGGGTGCCATTAATTCTGAGCACGACTGTACTTATGACATTCGCTTGGTTTTTGCATTCAAAAACTAAAATTAATGAATAAGTAATAGGCTATTTTGTACCCTAGTTTTGAGCCTAGCTGAAAAACGCTCGGTTTTTATGGGCGTCTCGCACTGAAGACTTGGAAGTAAACATCCACTGCTGTGAGTGGAGAACAGTTTCACATATTTTAATTTTTAGTTTCAACTCACTCGTCCTTGGGGAAAATTGATTTGAAAACGTCCAATGTTGTAAAATGGCAACCGGAATGATTCGCCCATACATGTTCGATCCAGAGTCTGTGTGTTGCAGAATTCCTGTAAGATCCAATATAGACGGCACAGCACCGTTCTTTACTCTTAATCGGTCTGCAAATCCAGTTTACAAATCAATCCTCAGTGAAATGAAGCAAACAAACGGACAATGTTTTACCTCATCAGCTGGAACGTCATTAAAAATAAAGTTTATCCATGCAGTCCTATTGGAATCCAGAGGAAGCAACGACAGTCTTCTTCCACAACCAGGCACTGCACAATATTCTGTATTGCTCGGTAGCTCGATCCGGTTTGTCATCACGAGGTAGGCCTATGTTATTTAGCTATATGTGTAACGCGAGAATCGGTGGGCGGGGCTAACGGCCGTGTTGAAGTAGGCGTTGATCTTCTGCAGGGGGTGGTGTTTCTTTCTCGTCATAGTTCCCCACTTTGAAAAACAAGTCGTTTGCTGAGGCTGGTGTCAATAAAAGCTTTTATTGGACTCATAAGGACGTTTTCAGTTCTGAAACTTACAGGATATTCTTATAATATGATGACCTCTTAGATGTCAAAATTTGATTTCTCAGTTCATCACCCCTTTAATATATAATATAATAATAGTAATCAGTTCATTGTCTCACAAATGTAACCAGCATTTCTCCCCACATAGCAAACCCATAATACAGCGAGGGAGAAGAACCACATGAAACTATATATTTTTTTCTAAATATGAGCTGTTTCTGTGGCTGAGCTGGTTAAAGCGTAAAGCCTTGTTTAAACTTGACGTGTCCGCAGGAGCCCAAAGGTGTTTGGTGTCATGTTATTTTAGTCAGATATGATGACGCTACTGCGACGCGCATCACCTCAAATGAGCAGCTGAGCGCCTATTCTTCAAGCCAACGCACCGCAATCTATCGCAAATCAAAGTGAAAGTAAGTCCCAGACGCTTAACACTACCATCTTCATTAAAGGTGCATTGCGCAACTTTTCATGTTAAAAATAGCCGTTTTCTAACCCATACATGCTTAAACAATCGCCTGGTGGGCTGAATGAGCCCTTCTTTGATCACTGCGATCGCCTCTATAACCCTGTACAGTGAAATATATAAGAGGGATTCGGGCTCGAATCTGAGACTGGGCGTGACGTCATGCGCGTTCACGCTCGCCTGGCTGTGTCTGGCAGGTTCGTGTAGCTATTCGCCGCCGTTCTCCGTATCAGAGAAGACAACTCGAGCGACACGACTCTAGTCAGCTTTCCACAAAAGTAGACGATGGATTCAAAGGGGCTGTTTACACCTGGTCACTTCATGTGTCTTCTGTGATCGGATAGCTATTCGATCGTGAAAAGACCAGGGTGTAAATGCCCTCCGAAACGCATTCGAGACGGATTTGAATTCGATCGCTCAAACCACTTGAGGACGTGGTCTGTGCCGTATTCCAGACGAAACTGGACAAGTTGCATCTGGTTGTTGAAACCAAGCTATATGTCATGATATTTTAGTCATATATGACGACGCGCATCACCTGAGCAGCTGAGCTGAGCCCCTTCATCAAGCGCCGCAATCTATCGCAAATCAAAGTGAATTAGTGAAAGTAAGTCGCAGACGCTTAACACTACCATCTTCATTAAAAGTAAAGAAATGAAATGATCTTACCAGGCCTGTTGCCGATCTCTCCTATTGCTGTCTTTGCTGATTTTGAAATTAGCCGATGATTAATAAAATCCAGCTCATATCTGTTGCTTTCGGTGACGTGCACTTCATTAAATCTGTATATGGCGCGGAAAGAGACCGGCTTGTAGCTCATTACAAACCCCAACGCAAACTCCACGTGAGACAGAAAATAAAACTTCTGTCTGTCCAGTGCCATGCGTCGGAATAAGACGAGAGTCAACATCGGGAAGCTTTAAACAAACGGAGAGATCTCCGGTCGGCTCTAGGGCTCAAACGGGTAATAGCCTATACAAAGTGATAACTGAACGTGTTTCCATAATAATTCAATCATAAGTGGATACAGTAAGCACAGGGAGATAGATGGAAACAAAAACCGAAGTTTTCTACTACCCCCGTTTCCCCCTCTCACACAAGTGTGTAATTTACTCGAATGCCTTTCCTTTCATATATTTTAAATGACTTGCAGATTTATTACTGTATTACCTCATTATGACTGTAACAAAAGATGTGTGCCGCACAGTGTGCGGCTGATGCTCCTTAGTTATGAACAGCTCGTGCAAACGTGCGTATGTGTGTGTGTGTTCCTCCATGAACGCGCACAGCTCTGGTTGCAGTTTCGCTTGTCGCCAGAGGGGGCGTAGTTCTGCAAAAACTCAGAGACTTGCGTTTAGCTCCTTTAAAAGTAAAGAAACGAAATGATCTTACCAGGGCTGTTGCCGCTCTCTCTTATTGCTGTCTTTGCTGATTTTGAAATTAGCCGATGATCAATAAAATGCAGCTCATATCTGTTGCTTTCGGTGACGTGCACTTCATGAAATCTGTATATAGCGCGGGAATTGAAGATTGCATTTATATCCGTTTTGCAAAAATACATTTATGTGACCAGGTGTAAATGAAATCGTTTTGATAAATCAGATAGCTATACGATCTGAGAAAACGTATGAAGTGGCTAGGTGTAAACAGCCCCTTAAAATGCTTTCAAGATCCACTTGTCGACCGCAATTGACGGATTGGTGATTCCTGTAACATACTGTTTTACGGTCAGTGACAAGAGTACAAATCAGCTGTCTCACGACTGTAACCAGCACATTTATCCCCACATAGCAAAGCCATAACACAGCGAGGGAGAAGAACTAAGTTACATAAAACAATCCCAACTACATATTTTACACCACTCACAAGGGAAAAGTCACTACTCACGGTGTTTATGGCTTCTAGCTTTCTGCTGCTTCTCTTTCAAGGTAGAGACGAAACACGCTTGTTTGTTCGCTGTCGGCTACGGTAGAAACATGACGTCACAATATGTTGACCTTCATAGAAGGGGGTGCATATTATGTAGATAAATGTCTCATTCTAAGGTAATAAAAACATTACCGTTTATTAAGTAAGTTCTTTATACACCACTGAAAAAAATGTTATGGATGTCATATTGCATTTCTGTTAATAGATACTAAAAATTTTTACACATTGCACCTTTGAAATTTAATTAACACATTTTTCAGTATGTATTACCCAGAAATATGTTCCCGCAAGACAACATTTGAGGTCAGTGATATCAGTAATCAGTTTCAACTGACACCTATAGATTTTTTAATTTATTTATACCTCAATACTTATTTATTTTAAGTTATAATAAAATAATATTGTGGACATTTTGATGGCTGTGAACAAATATGTTTAATTTGGGAGCGTTGAAATATTAAAAAAATTCAATTAATCGCACCTAACATTTAAATTGTAAACATATATTTATGTTTGCACTGAATCTACAAATGAATGTGGAACCAACATAAAAACAGTATTCTAAATAGTTGATCTATAATGCATATTTACATAAGGCTCATCTATAAGGCTTACTTACAGTTGCTTCTGCATAATAAAAAACTTTTGAGAAAATATGGAATGAAATCTAAGACAAGACATTTTTCATTATATACTCACCAGCCACTTTATTATGTACACCTGTTCAACTACCTTTAAATCTTATCATACACACAAAATATGATGTATTTCCAGAAACATTATAATTTTATTTATACCTCTTATTTATAATTACTTTAGCTTTCATTTTATGGATTGTGGTGGAGGAACACTTCACTTCACAGAAAGATCTAACCATTCTGAAGTTTTGATATCAATATTTATTTTTATGTTAAAACAATGTTGTGGACATTTGATGACTGAGAACAAAAATGTCTAATATTATCATATTAGTCAAAGGTACTGAAGTAATTATTGTATGTTTGTTTCATTTATCTAGTGTTGTACTAATGAAATTCCAATAACTTGTGTGTTATGGATAATTCGATTCAAATGTACATTCAATACATGAAGGGTCAGTTTGATTTCACTGCACCTTGACGTGGACCGCTGTCGACAGGAAATAGATTGGGTTCAATGTCCCTCAATGACGGTCGCCCCTCAAGTCTGCTTACCAACTAAAAAAAACAACAACAAAAAAACATTGATGTTTACAGCAAGAAAGGCATAGTTAGTGGCTTACCAGTACTGTCTATTGTACGACCCCATTCACACATAGTGCATGTAACGTTACATGTGTGAATCACGTCTAAACCTCAGTTTGTACTTCCACTCCAACAAAGGTTTAGTTAAAAAAACTGTCATGATAATCATTTGAATGAACTACAGGAATTGCTCATGTTTCTATACATTTAGGCGGTTTTAAACTTAAACCTGCGTTGAAATGTATTATTTGATTGTAAGTTTACTTAAAGCACTAATGTGAACTGATCTGTCAGATGTAGCCTACCTGTGCGCCATTCTCAGCCATTCTGACTCGCGCTGTCATTTCGTCGCTTTTCGCGCAAATATTTCAAGGATTCTATTTCCTGATACATAAGCGTTCGGCCACATTTCAAAACAAGAGTCCTACAATTTCCGACAACACACAATAACATGTATTTGTATTTAACTTTCTTTTTTATTTCATATTTTGCCGTATATTATAAAATATGAGATCATTTATTCAGAGATTGTGCAGAATCCTTGAATGTGCACAGTTTGATATGGCAGCTTTCAGTTTTCTTCTGGACTTTCATTATCTATTATTTAATATTATTTAATAGGCTATGTCATACTTGTTTTGTTTACTTCTCATAAAACGAGAGTAGGCTATAGTATGGATATTTGTTATTACTTAAATACATTACTTTATTTAGATGTCATATTAACCGTCTAGGGTTGTTGTTTTGATGAAGAAGAAAAAAATCTTCCATAATAGCAGACATTGAGAGCTGTAGTATTTACACAACATTATTATATAACATTATTGTTTTTATAACAGATCGTTTTGGCAGTAAGCCAAAGACATATCGATATTTAATAAAAACGTTCATTTCTGACAGCTGTGGACATTCATTTGAATAGAAACGTTTTGAAAGCGAGAATTTGAATTATGTACAAATAATACACTTTTAAATACTTGACCTACCGTTGCAGGAAGAAACTCCTGTAACAGTGCCATTAGCACCTTATTAGTGCTTACAGATTAAGAAACTCCTGTAACTTCAGTGCCGTTAGCACCTTATTAGTGCTTACAGATTAGGAGACATTAGTGTGTTCGCTGCATTTAATCCGGGTATCTATCCACTGGAATGTGTTAACGCAAACGTGTAAGTTTCACGTTTAAAGGGGTTAAACCGTGACATCTACACGTTTTCCAAAGTGGACCAACGTGATTATTATACCACGTCTTGTCGTGATACCGGGTTGCGTTTACAGTCTATGGCACAAACTGTCAGAAACCGTCTCAGGGAAGTTCCTCTGCATGCTCTTCGTCCTCATCGCTCATCGGGGTCTCGACCTGCACTCTAAAAAAAAAAAAAAAAAAAAAAAAAAAAAAAAAAAAAAAAGGTACAAAAGCTGTCACTGGGGCTGTACCTTTTCAAAAGGTACAATGTGTTGTACCCAAAGGCTGCATATTGGTACCTTAGTGTTACATATTAGCACCTAAAATGTACATATTAACACCTAATGTACATCCTGAAACCTATTAACACTTAAAATGTACTTATTAGCACCTAAAATGTACATATTAACACCTAATGTACATATTACCTCATATTAACACTTAAAATGTACTTATTAGCACCTAAAATGTACATATTAACACCTAAAATATACATTTTAACACCTAAAATGTACTTATTAGCACATAAAATGCACATATTAGCACCTAAAATGTACATATTAACACCTAATGTACAGATTAGCTCCTGAAATGTACATATTAACACCTAAAATGTACTTAGCACCTAAAATGTACATAACACCTTATGTATATTAGCACCAAAATGTACATTTTAACACCTAAAATGTACATATTAACACTTAAAATGTACTTATTAGCACTTAAAATGTACATATTAACACCTAAAATAAACATTTTAACACCTAAAATGTACTTATTAGCACCTAAAATGCACATATTAGCACCTAAAATGTACATATTAACACCAAAATGTACATTTTAACACCTAAAATGTACATATTAACAGCTAAAATGTAAATATTAGCACCTAAAATGTATATTAACACTTAAAATGTACATAGCACCTAAAATGTACATTTTACCACCTGAAATGTATATATTACCACCTAAAATGGACAAAAGTTTACCTTTTGAAAAAATACAGTCCCAGTGACGTTTGTACCTTTTTTTCTGAGAGTGTGACTGCAGCTCGTCATTGTAATCCGAAACGATGGTGTCTGGTACTTTGGAGATGTGTTCTCTTCGAGGATGAATCCTGGTTTTCACTGTACAGGGCAGACGGCAGACAGCGTGTAAGGCGTGTGGGTGAGCGGTTTGCTGATGTCAACGTTGTGGATCGAGTGGCCCATGGTGGCGGTGGGGTTATGGTATGGGCAGGCGTATGTTATGGATGAACACAGGTGCATTTTATTGATGGCATTTTGAGATACTGTGACGAGATCCTGAGGCCCATTGCTGTGCCATTTATCCATGACCATCACCTCATATTGCAGATGATAATGCATGGCTCCATGTTGAAGGATCTGTACACAATTCCTGGAAGCTGAAAACATCCCAGTTCTTGCAGGGCCAGTATACTCACTGCACATGTCCCATTGAGCATGTTTGGGATGCTCTGGATCAGTGTATACAACAGTGTGTTCCAGTTACTGCCAATATCCAACAACTTCACAAAGCCATTGAAGAGGCCACAATCAACAACCTGGTCAACTCTATGCAAAGGAGATGTGTTGCACTGCACTGCGTGAGGCAAATGGTGGTCACACCAGATACTGACTGGTTTTCAGACCCCCCAGGACATCTGTTGCACATTTTAGAATGGTCTTTAATTGTGACCAGCCTAAGGCACACCTGTGCAATAATAATGCTATCTAATAAGAATCCTGATATACACCTGTAAGGTCATGCATAGAGTTTTTGAGCACAAAAGCGTCGGGCTGAACTGAGATCTTTATCTCACCTTGTTCAAATACACACTTATGACATCTTTGCAAGTATCCTGGTAAACACAGCCGTTTGTGTCTTAAGAGAATGTTAACAGTTGAACTTTTTTTTTTTTTTTGTACAGTCTACTATGGGCAGTCTACTATTTTTTTACAGTCTACTAAAAACATAATTTTCAAAAATACATGAAGTTTGCAGCTCCATTGTTGCTGCAGTAAACTTGCACAACATTCTTGAATGAATAACTTTTTTTTAGATGCATGGACACTATTATCCAATGAGGCCATAGGTCACGGTCGTGTGATTTCATAGAAAACTATGATGATCCGTCTTCGTCTCAATTGAGTGTACACCATTCAGATGACTCTTCACAAAAACACACTTTATTTCCCAATGCGTAAAACATTTTAAATTGAATCTTTAACTATTGAATGCACCTTAAAAAAAAAAAAAAACACCATTGAATGTTATATTCTTGTCACTGTATTTACAATTACATGTACAAAATGACAGGAAGTGCAGTTTACATTCACATTGGACTTTCAAATATTTAAAGCTTTAAAGTGTCAGTCCAAAATGATTAAGAGATGAAAAATACTGTCCCTCTGCCCATTTTCCAAAGCACTTGTCTTAACACTAGCTGTAGTAAAGTATCTTACCAATACTGATGGATTTTATTCATTAAGCTATTTCACTGAACCTCTCCATATTTTAATCCCAGCAATCAATAATCCATTACAGAACGACCCAATTAATTTACATTTTATTAAGGTCAAGGTAAATCCAGTGATCATTAAATCAAAGAAAATTACATAAAGGAAATCAAAACAAACGGCTAATGTTAATTTGACCAAATAAAAAAAAAAACACTTACAAATACAAATATAATGCTAAGAAAAGCTTCATTCATAGTTAAAAATGATGATTAAAGAATGTGGTTATATTAAACACATCTAACATCTGTAATAAAATGAAAATAGAATTTCTCTGTGCAAATCGTTTACATTTCAAAGAGCAAATTAAAATTATTAAAACTTACACATACTTGAAGAAACACGATTTTGAAAATACTCTAAAAATAGTTGGTTTCTGAGAAAAGAATACGGGTCGAGAAAACTTCAGACCAAGGCTGAAACTCAAAAGTTGAGCTCAAGTTGTGGTCCTCACTGCGGGCCCTCACAGCGGTCTGGACCAGCAAGCGTCTGATCATTTCTGATCTGACGGCATTGCGGCGTTGCAGTTCAATCCCCGGCCAGAGGGGGCGCTCTATTCTAGCTGTTCCTCACACTGCCAGCGCCTTTCAACCCTCCAACTGCCACTGCTGGGACCGGGAATCATCACAGATCGCCATAGCAACATATCCTTTGATGTTGAGCGGGTCGGCAACAGCCAAACACTGGCCCACTGACACCTGGTACAACCAGCTATTCTTCTGAGGACAAAAACAAACAACAACAATATTGTTTAAACATAAAAAGAGAGGCATATACAAGAAATCACAATATACCTTGAGAGCCATTAAAAACAGTAATGTAGTGTACATTGCTGTTTTAAATGGCTGTCACTGTATATTGTGATCTTTAAATAGCCTTTCATTTGCACATTGTTTGAATACATTTGCACATTTCAACATAATGCTTAAAATAAAATGTGACTTTCAAAATGGAATTAATCAAAGAAATAATATACTACTTGGTTATGAAAAACCTGGCAGTTGCAGCCCTATAGAAGAGTGTAACGGGAAGATTCCTCACCCCCAGCGTCCACTGTTGAGATCCACCTGAGCCGTGACACTTCATGAGGCGCGGCGGGTCAGAGGAACGAATCTCAGACATGTCCAAACACAGCAGCCCGGCTAGAATCAACTCGTGTTCCTCGTCATAAGCCCATTCCTGCAAAACAACAACAACACAAAAAATTACACCAATCATAAAACTTAAAATATGCTATTTCGATATGTTTAGATATTACAACTAGGGCTGTCAAACGATTAATCGCATGGAAAATAAGTTTGTTTTTACATAATATATGTGGGTGCACAGTGTATAATTATTTTTATATATATATATATATACACATGCATATATATTTAAGAAAAAAATATTTATATATAAAATATTTATTATTTTTGTGTATGTGTGTGTGTATATATATATACACACACACACACACACGCGCGCGCGCGCATATATTTAATAACAAATATTATTTAGATATAAAATATTTATATTTATATATAATATAAATCTATCTACAGTATATACATGAAAATATTTCTTAAATATATACAAGCATGTGTGTGTATTTATATATATATATATATATTTATAAAATAATTCTACACTGTGCACCCACATATATTATGTAAACACAAACTTACATTTTGTATGCGATTATTTATTTGACAGCCCTAATTACAACTTATTTCTTTTCAGAAGTTGTTGGGCTAGTTTGGAGTTTGGGCCAGACAATGATATAACGGTGGCAAAAAATAACAGTCAAAAGTTTGTAAGCTGAAAAAAAGGCAGCATTTACACTACCATTCAAAAATGTTGGGCTGTTAAAAAAAAAAAAAAAAAAAAAAAACTCATGCTCCTCATGGCTGCATTTATTTAAATAAAATTTATTTGTAACAATTTATGAAATATTACTAGATTTTAAAATAACTGTTTTCTATTTAAATATATTTCAAAGATATATATTTAAAATCAATTTTTCTGTAACTTTATTCTAGAGCTTCTGTAAAGCCAAAACAATCTGAAACTATAATTTCCTATTATCACTGTAAAACGGCTTTGAAACAATCAATTTAAAAGCGATGTATAAATGAAGGTGACTGACTAATTAATTCCTATGATGGCAAAGCTGAATTTTCAGCAGTGCTGCATGATCCTTAAGCACCAAATCATATTAAAATCTTTTTTAAGAAACATCCATCATCATCATCATTGAGGAAAACAGCTTAACAATTCTGTACACATGAAAAAAAAAAAAAAAAACACAGGAAAGGACGAAAGAACAGCATTTATTTATAAAAATCTACGTTTTTGAACAGTAGTTTGTTCAGTATGAGTCAACAATGAATACTGATAAATGAGCACCCCAAATATTCACCAGAGCTAATAATTATCCGCAAAATCCA